ATGCAAAGTTGGCATTTTTATGGACTTTTAATGCAACTTTTAGAGCAACTTTGCATTAAAAGTGTCATTATTCACTGAATGACACTTTATGACAACTGTCATAAACATTCATAAAGACTTCTTTATGTTCATGACAAATGTTATGTCATGTTTATGACATGTCAGTCTTATGCACACCCTTTCAAATAAAGTGTTACCGTCAGAAGTCTTTATGACCAGGTGATGAGTTCCTACAAATATCATCTGACAAGGCAAAAGGCCAACAACAAAAAGTTCAATACCTGCTGAAGGAAATCAATATGAATCTGTGACATTGAAGACATTTTTTATTTCTTCTATTTCTTGTAACTCAGAGTTCTGCAAACAAAGTTGTTGTTTTCTTCAGCCATTCAACATCCACTGTGATTATTCAGGTTTATTTCCAGCTCTTGTAATCATATTCCTCTGTGTCCTTCAGCTGAACCGTGCCGAATATACATAGACCAATGCCAAGGTAACACTACAAGTCTGTACTATCTATTGCTGGCTTGTGGCTATTTTAGGGGGGTAGGACACTGTGTCCCTGATTTTCACTACCACTGAGTGTGTGAATGGAGTGGAAACTGATTGGATGCACTTTGTGTGTATGTCCCTAAGTGATGTAACACTCTGTGGTGATCAGGACTAATCAATCATTTCGTCTTTCTTTTTTCTGCAGTCTTGGAGGTGAAGAGCAGCCTCCCATCAGGCATGCAGAGTCCAGTTGAAGCAACATGTGAGCAGAGAGGAGGTGGTGGTGAAGGGGTTGGTGAGTCTTCTTTACAAAAATAACACATTTAGTCAAAGTAGTCAAGACTACATCCCAACAAATGTCAGCACATTATAAATATTAGCTGATTGTAACCTGGTTCAAGATTATTTAAATCTAATACCTCATAGCATTGTGGATGACAGAGTGTAATTATTTATCAAATTGAAATGAAGCCAAGAAACTATACTTAAAAATTCTTTTACCCTGTTTGCATCAGGTCACCTTGTCTCAGTTAGCATGGTTAATGTTACAGTTCAAAACTCATTAATTATAAAATGAATGGTTGTTTGAAAGTGTTGCCTGGAGAAAGCTTCTTCCTTTTAAATAAACTAGGGGGCATGATTTAAGTTTCCAAAGTTGCAAATACCAACACATACTTGAATACATGGTTTCAGATCTTTTTACTACTAAAAATCTGAAAAGTATGATGTGCATTGGTCTTCAGCCCTCCATGAGTCAAAGCTGTTAAAGATGTAATCAAAGCTACATGTTTTTCCATATAAATCTCTACCAGCTTTGCACATCTACAGTATAAACATATATCTTTGCCCATTCTTCATTGCTAAGTGGCTCATCCTTGGTCAGATTGGATTGAAAGCATCTGAACATCAATTTTCAAGGCTTGTCACATATTCAAAAGTCTAGCGCTAGGTTGTGACTATGCCAGTCACAACCTAGCGCTAGATTGTGGATCAAAACTAGATTAAGCCAGTATTAATGTACAGGCTTTGATCAAAATCATTCTGTCGTAAGTCTGACAGTCCTAGTGGACGGTAAACTTCCACCTGAGCTGAAAGTCTTCTGAAGCCTCTAGTGGGTTTTCTTCCAGGATTGTCCTCTCTTTATCACCATCCATTTTCCCAACAACTCTTTCTAGCTTCACTAGCAGTGTTTCCATTCACCATAGAATTGCACAAATTGAAATTATGAAATAAATGTACTTAATGAAAACATGCCAGTTTCAAAAAAACTCAAGAGAAAGTTGTTGCACTGGTATGATGTGGCTGTCCAACTGTATCGAATGCAATGGAAACACTTTTTGGCATCACACTTGATGAACAGCCGGATGTTACTACTGGCAAAAACCACGGCAAAGATGACAGTAACTGGTCTTCTTTGTGGTTTGTTGTTTGTTCGTTTTTTTCGGACAGTGTCCAGCTGGCTCCACCAGAGCCCTCACATTCACACAGTTCAAAAGTTGTGTATTCTTCCAATGTGTTGAATCCATAGCTCTTATGCAAAATCACTAATTACAATTTCTCCAAAACGCTGCATGCGTAGCCGCTCCCAAGTACAAGAGGCTTGTCGTTCCAACGCCTGAACAAAACACAGACGTCTCCTCTGATGGCTGATAGATGATGAGCACTAGCACCATGACTGAATTATCAATAATGTAACTCTTTACATCCATCGCTACCATGATTTTGACTTAACATGAACAAGCTTATTCATGCGTGATTTTATTGGAAACATCACAATTCCAAGTTAGTTCTTTCAATGTCAGCAGAATAGAGACAAATGTTTGCACACATCTGTAATGGAAATGCAGCTAATGTCACTGCTAGTAAAAATCACCCCCAAAGTATGATGCTTCCACTACAGTGTTCTACTTTTTGGGTGGTGTTTCCAGTGTGAAATAATGTTAGTTTTCATCTAAATATTGTTTAGCATGTAACCTGATAAGTTGAATCTTTTCCCCTTAAATGGCTTTGGCAGACATCCAAATGTTTTTTTCAGTCTTGTGTGAAAATAAGTTGACTGATGCTGTTGACTCAGTCTGAGTGAGCTTGAGGTGTTTGGCTAACAGGAAACCAGACATATGCATACGGCATCTGTAATTGCAGTGAACAATGGTTTTACAGAAGCTTGACATCAAGGGCCTTTTTCTGTTTTTATGTGTAAAAATCTTGAAACTATTTATGTTTTTCTTTTTACTTTCTAATAAAGGTATTTTGTGTTCTTCTGTTACATTAAATCCCAAATCAGTTGTGCCATAGAAAACTGTGTAAAGCTGAAGAGGGAGGAAAGTTGACCTTGTTTATTGTCCAGGCGGTGGTCCTGGAGAAGGCCCAGGTGGAGGCGGAGGCCCAGTGGACTTGAGGACAGAGCCCAGGTTGGGCTCTGTGTCTGGTGGGGGAGCAGTGGATACAGCCCTGAGAGAGCAGCAGCTTCAGCAGGAACTCGTGCTTCTCAAACAGCAACAGGAACTCCAGAAGCAGCTGCTATTCGCGGAGTTTCAGAAAAAACATGAAGTGTTAACAAGGCAGCACGAAGTCCAGCTGCAAGAGCACTTAAAGGTAGCTCACATTCTCTTTATAGTCACTGATTTAATGGTTGTAAAGCTAAACTCATCTCCAGAATCAGTCTCTAAACCAAGTTAAACGTGTTTGTATGTGTGTGTAAGCAACAACAGGAGCTGCTGGCAGCAAAGCGGCAGCAGGAGTTGGAGCACAAGAGAAAACTGGAGCAACAAAGACACGAAGAGCAGGAGAAACAGAGACTGGAGCAACAACTGTTGCTGCTGAGAAATAAAGAGAAAGGGAAAGAGAGTAGGTTCTAGTGCTGCCGTCAGTGACTACACTGAAATGCATGTATTGATGTATAGAGTGTAGCGTCCTGATGCTGTCTGCATGTGTTTGTGTTATGGAAGGTGCCATTGCCAGCACAGAGGTGAAGCTGAAGCTTCAGGAGTTTCTTCTCAGCAAGAAAGAACCTGGTCCAGGACTCAACCATTCCTTCTCCCCAAAGTGCTGGTGAGAATTTCCTATTTTCTTTACAGGGTGAACGGGGTAAATGTTTTTGGTAGTTTGACCCATATACATGTTCAACATGCTAAAAAACAATTACGCCAACAGACTAGGCCTTTAATTTTTATTATGTCACTGGAGCTTGTTTTTTGATACCATTGGATTTATTTCCATCAAGTGTTGCATTCAATTTTCACCAAGATCTTGTATTGAGGATGGTAGAGGCCTACTACTGTGAAAAGTCTTCTGCAGAACATCGACTGGCTCAAGGTCATAACAGAAACGAGAGACCATGCAGAGGCTAAAGTGCAGAAAAATGAATATTTATTAACAAAAACTATAATGGATTGTGAAAGTCAGTATCAGTGGTGTAATGCAAATGCTTGGATGTGTTGTATGAGGGCATATGGAAGGGTTGAAGTGCAAAAACAAAGACAAACTCAAATGTGCAAAAAGGAGGGGAGCTGAGGCCTGGCAACAAAACACCACAAGTGTCAATCGGCAGAGTGGACGCTGAAGGCGACACAGAAGACGGAGACAGCCAGGCCCAAGTACTCTGCGCTCCCAATCAACGGACCAGAGACACGTGCAAAGGGGAGGAGCACAAAGACAGACAAGAAAAGCACCCACAATTCAGCTCACAAGGCCGTAACAATCATAAAGATTGTCCATGGGTTTAAGGTCTGGACTCTGTGGTGGCCAGTCTTTATGTGAAAATGATGTCTCATGCTCCCAGAGCCACTCATTCACAATTTCAGTCCAGTGAATCCTGGCATTGTCATCTGGGAATGTGGCTGTGCCATCAGAGAAGAACAATCCGCTGATGAAAGAACCCGGCCATTCAGTATATTCAGCCAGTCAGCTGACCTCATCAGGGTGCTGAACCTGGCCTGACCAACTGCAGCAATCCCAGATCCTAGCACTGTTCCTACAGATCTGTAAGCATTAGGCATGATGGGTAACTATTTCATCTGCCTCTCTTTTTACCCTGATGCGCCCATCACTCTTGAAGAGGGTCAGTCTGTTCTAATCAGACCACATGACCTTGTTCCATAGCACCAGAGTCTGATATTTATGCTCTCTAGCAAATTGTGACACTTTTCTCCAGCAAACCTCACTGATTATTGGTTTTCTTTTGGCTACACAGATGTATCTCAGTCCCTTGAGTTCCCTTCACATTGTGCATGTGAAAATGCTCTTATTTTCA